TTGAGACAGAGTTTCACTCTTGTTGCCCAGGCTGGAGTACAGTGGTGTGATCTTGGCTCACTGCAATGTCTGCCTCCTGGGTTCAAGCGATTCTCCTTCCTCAGCCTCCCAAGTAGCTGGGATTACAGGCATGTGCCACCATGCCCGGCTAATTTTGCATTTTAAGTAGAGATAGGGTTTCTCCATGTTAGTCAGGCTGGTCTCGAACTCCCAACCTCAGGTGATCTGCCTGCCTCGGCCTCCCAAAATGCTGGGATTATAGGTGTGAGCCACGGCGCCTGGCCTTGGATTCTAAATCAAGGGTTCTCAAGGTCTTATACCCGAGCTGCCTGCCTCCTAGACCAATGCTCTCTCCATTCACACGTAGGGACCAATGGGCATCCTGACCCCTGGTCCTCCCAATCCTACCTCACCTGCTGTCCCAGTTTCTAGACTAGCCTACCTCCCTCTTTCCCTCCCTCCCTCTTTCCCTCCCTCCCAATTTCCCAGGGCATCACTGCCCCAAAAAAGCAGTCAGATAATCGCCTGCCTAGCACGTTTCCTCTGCACATCTGTGATCCTCATCTGTGGACTCTGAGATGTGGCCAGATGCTCCTTGGGCCTGCTAAGCCCCCACCCCAGCCACTGCCTTCACAGACATACTGCCCTGCACCTCCTTCCAAACCAGCCCCAGTAACAGCATCCCCTTAGCAAAATTATCAGGAACAGACCCACTACTTCTCCCCATTGTGAGAGCCTCCCATTCTCTGCAGAGGACTCAGAAAGCTCTATTTTTAAATCTAGCCCCAATACGAATGCTGCAGGCTCCAAAATGGTGCGGGCTGCACAGCCCTCAGAGAGAGAACCAAGACACCTGCCCTAATCACTCAAGTGTGCTCTCCTCTCCAGTCTCCAGGAAGGGAATCCATGGACCAAGTCCAGCCTTCCTTGTCCTGGCTCCCGCTCCCAGTCCCACACTGTGTGACCTCCCCTGCTCCCTGGCCCTGCCATCCCCTGGCTGACCACAACAGCTGTGCCAGCCACTGCTGGAGCCAAGCAAGGACAGGGGCCCAAGGGTGCAGCTGGGATGAAAGGCGGGTAAAGGGGCAGGGACTCAGGACCCAGGCCCTGCCCTGTGGGAAATTCCTCACCCCAAGGCTTCCAGGAGCCAAGCAATCGCGCTGGGGTTCCGATTTCCTACAAGGTCACCCAAGCGGAGATAGTCCCAAGGTGAAGCAGCAACAGGAAATCACATGGGGAATGTGACAACTGGGGGTGGGCGCCTGCGCCTGAGTTGTATGGCCAGAGGTGCTAGAGGCCCTTTCCAGTTTCAAGGAAGGCAGCTGGGATGGGAAGCTGCCACAAATCCAACTCAGGGCTGGCTCCTCCGTGTCCGGTGGCTTTCCAGAATGCAGGAGCATCTCCCAGGAGTTCCACCCAGCTCCCCCCAGGGGGGCCTACTCCAGGGAAGAGGAGAAGCTGCCCCTGTCCTCTGTGAGACGAAAAAGCCTCTGCCACCTGGAACTCCTTCCTCGCGCCTAATTTGTGTCCCACCAACTCCTCAAATGTTTCCTCTCACCTGCACAATCTCAAAGACAGGAGGAGGGCCTGACTCCCTCCTTCTGCCTGGTGGAGGCCAGGATCCCTGTGGTTCAGGCCCCTCCTCCTCATTCACCACATCTCTTCCTATTATCTTCTTCCCTGAGTCAGACATCTGGACCAACGGTGCACCTGGCTTTGCACAGACTCTCTGGATTTCTGCCTCCAAATCCCAATGCTTGTTTTTCTCCCATTCCCCTTTCCCTCTTGCCCCCACCTCCTCCAGGAAGCTCTCCCTGCCTGACCCTTCCACACCTACACACATTAACCCTTGTCAACTCCAGTCACTCAATTCTTCCTTCCACGTGTAAAGATCCAACCAGATGTTAACAACATTATTCCTTACCCCTCCCATGCCCATTTTTACAAAGCAAACTGAGGGTCCCAGGGCAGCCTCTCACCTGTAGTTAGGTAAAGCACGTGAAAGGTGTCCCCGTGGCTGGCCTGCATGCGATGGACGACCACTTTCTGGTAGTGGTATTTAGAGTGGAACAATGGCGTCTTCAGAGGCCCCATGGGCTCCACCCTCTGCGACACCTCTGGGTGACGGTCAGCCACCTGGAAGGTCTCTGTGGGTATCGGCTTCTGGTATGAGAGGCACTGGGCAAGGAGAGCAGGCCCAGGTCAGTGGGGTGGTGGGAGGGGAGGGAGGAGCAGGGCTGGGCCTGGGCCCCGGCTGGTGTCACGCTCACCTTGCCAGGCCGAGGGTTGGGGAGGCTTGAGTAGTAGCCCTTGAGTGAGGAGGTGCGGAAGACCTTGTCAATGTCACCGAGGGAATACACGCACACGGCTGAGTAGTTCCTGCAGTGACACGGAGACCAGCTCAATGGGGGGCCCAGAAGCCACCCACCCACCACCTCCACCCACCCAGGCCAGCCCTGTGCCTGGTACTGAGCCACCAAACACCACTGAAAGGAGGGAAGGATGGAGAGGAGGAAGGAGAGAGGGAGTTCACCCTAATTCCTTTCTGCTGCAATCTAAAGCCACAGTCTCGGGTCCTGTCACAGAATCACTGAGTCTAGAAGCCATCTGCTCTACCCAACCCCAGGCTGGGCTAAATCCCAGCATGGGCTGAGCAGCTCTCTAACCCTCCCTGGGCACAGGCTATGGGATGCTGATGCCCCAGAAGACCAGACCCCCAGCCCCTTCCAACCTGGGGGGCTCTACCCACCCAGGAGCCACAGAGCAGGGTCTTGGCTTCTTCTGCTCTGTCCCCAACTCTCCCCATGAACACCCAACACTTTTGACTGCCTTGTTTTCAATCAATGAGAGTGATTAAGAAGTGTGAATTATCAGGCGCAGGCAGTGCCTGAGCAGGTGTGATAGCGCCCAGCTCCCCAAGAGACGCTTCAGCAGCTTCCTTCTGGGCGCAGCGTCCACTCGGGGCCCACACAGGTATTGGGACACACAGGCACAAGTGCAGTCATGAGTGTGCATATAGGCCATGCACACACACCCATGAGTGCAGACTCACTCACACAACGGTACACACATCGCGCTGGCTGTCCCCCCACCCCACACCCAGCAACAGCCCCCCCCCTTGAGCCTGCAGTCCCTGCTCGTGCCACACCAGGCAGGCCCTCAGCAGGGCCCAGGGCCTCCTGTCCCTACTGGACACGGAACCAGTGCCAGCCCCAGCCCCAGGACAAGGGCCACTCACCAGGGGTTGGAGAAAACGCCGTAGACCCTGGTGTCCCTCCACTGGCCGCTGGGGTCGGGGAGCAGGAAGACGTCCTGCAGCCTGTTGAAGTTCTTGTTGGTGGCAGCGTCGCTGCATACCAGCATGGCTTTCAGAAAAGTGTTCCACTTGGAGACTGACAGTGAGCTCTCCCCACCCTGGTCCCCCTGGAAGGGCAGAGGGTAGAAGAGGCCCCTCAGCACCTGCCCAGGCTTCCCCATGCACCCCAGGGAATCACTGCCAGCAATGCCAGCACCTGTGCCCAGAGGAGGAAGGCAGGCTGTGAGAGGCCGGGTCCTGTTGGGGGTGCCCGAGGACTCAGGCCAGGTCTCCAGACTCCAGCCAGCAGGCCTGGCTGACCCGGAGCCCAGGGCTAACAGTGGCCAGGGTCAGGGCAGTTGAGAGTGCCAGGTCCCCGCAGAGCAGACAGACTCAGACATACATTTACTGACTCACACAGATGGAGAGGAGGAAGGAGGGAAGGAGCGCATGTGGCACAGCACATTCACGCAGGCAAAACACACACACACACCATCACATTCACACATGCTCGCACGCCATCATACGTGCACAGGAGCTCAGCCATTTTACCCACGCATAGACACGTGACGCTCCATGCACACACAGCTACTCCCACAATCCCAGACACAGACCCACTCATACATCCACACAACTCCTGCGTGCACACAGGCACACAGAACTCGCCCTCACTCAGGCCTATTCACACACGCAGACACGCAGCCAGCAGCCCGCACGCCCCTGCTCACCTTGCACAGCTGAGCCACACGGGACACGTTCAGAGGAGCCTCAGGATTCTTGTCAGGATTGTCCTCTCGGAAGAAGTAGTAGATCTTGTCATCGTAGGCCTGGTCTTGGTGCACGATGGTGGCTTTGATGAACTGTGGGTCTGCCAGGGACAGAGGCAAAGGCTGGGAAGCCAGCCTGGGAGCCCACCCCAACCCCGCACATGTACACTCTCCTCCCACCTTCAGGTCTGCACAAACCGTGGCAAAGCGGACCTGGAACGGGACATAGGACATCAGGTCCGGCACCCCAAGGGCCCTAAACCCTGCACCTCCACCCCACACCTGTTTGGCCCTCACCCTACAATGATGTCATTGGCCCAGGAGCAATGACTTCATGTGTGGGGACTAGGGGAAGGTCCCTGGGGGCCCCTATGTCACTTCTGCCCAACTGGCAGAGCCCTAATAAGGAGGGAGTGTGGGGCTGTATGTCTGAGTTCCCTCCATGGGAACTCAGCAGAGGATAAATTTTGGCTCCTGGGGACCCTGCTCTGGGTCTGGAGCTCCCTCTGTTTGTGTTCTCCAAAGAGGGCTGGGGCCTATCCCACTGCCATGCCTCATCTGTTCCTCTGCTCCCAGTCAGCCCTAACTCCTCAGGCCTGTACCAAGGTCCTGCTTTCCCACATGGCCCCAGCGGCCCTCAGGGAGCCCTCCCAGAAACATCAGGATCCCATCTGCCACCCTAGGTGCTCACACCCCCTCATCCACCCTCAGCCCAGCCAGAGCGTGACTCACTCTGCATGACTGTATCGCTGGTGTACAGCTCAGTCTCGCCCTGGATGCGGCGGAACCGAGGGATCTTCCCATTGTATTCCTGCTTCCGGATGGTGGAATACACCTCGTCCCCTGGGGATGGTGGGAGGGGGCATGAGTAAGGGCAGGCAGCTCCTGGAAGTCCCTCCTCCCGACACTGGACAAGGAGCCGACCACGCCTCTCCCAGCCCAGTTCAGAAGCTCACTGCTGGGGCGCCTGCTTCAGCACTGCTTACCTTCAAACAGAACCAGGGAGTTCTCTTCTGGACTGAAGGGGGCATAGCCTCTCATCTCGCCAAGTGGCACCACTGTGCCATTCACCTGTGGGAGATCCAGAGGGTCACATAATCCCACAGCCACTACCCCCATGATGGCCAGTTTCCGGGTCAGGGGCCCCATCCTCCCAGAGTGAGGCCAGCCTTGGAATCTCGCCATCTCCTTCCCACCCTGAGGGGCAGAAGCCCACCCAGTAGAAGGCAAGCTGATTAGGCACATGGGGAGCAGCCTTCTCACCAGGTTCCAGCAGCTGGGGTGCCGGGCGTTGGTGCCACAGGCCAGCAGCCCCTCACCCCGCCTCTCCAGGAGAGTGATATAGTTCTCGCAGTCCTGCCCGGGGAAGAGAGAAGAGAGGAGAGGAGTTGGTTGCTGGGAGGCCCTGGCAGGCCTAGCACAAGGACCCCCAGGACTGGGGAAGAAGGTGTCAGAAGGACTGAGCATAGGTGACAGCCTCCCAGGACAGTCCAGCGTGGGTGCAGCTGACGCCATCCCCCTAAGCACAGAGGACTACATCTCCCCATCAGAAGGGGCAGGGCCATGCTTCCTTCCTTAGACTCTCAGGGTCTCCTCTCCCTTTACCAAGGGGCTTAGGCCCCACCCCCCATTCACCCTCCCCCACTCACCCGCTTATCCAGACAGGACCCCTTTGTGGCACTGATGTTCATCTGGGGGAAGGGAAGAAGAATTAGTTCACTCTGCCGGGGTGAGATGCCCCCAGAATGCTTTCCATGAAGCCTCAGGATCAGCTCCGGAGGAAGTGACCATTAGTCTCATCTGACAGATGAGCAACTGGGGCTCTGAGAGGGTGAGCGACCTACCCGAGGTCACACAGGCTGCTGGGTCTCATATTCAGAGCCAAAACCCAGAGGGTTCAGAAAACCAGCCATGGGCTCTAGGGCCCAGCAGCCAGCCTGGGCTTTCTGCAGCAGTGCTGCCCAGCTAGCCAGGCCCATTAGCTCCTGTTTCTCCACACTGCCCCGGCTCTCCACTCCAATCTGGACTACCTTTAGGGAGCCTCCCCCAGGGGCCATTTATAGGACATGGAGGTCGGGGCAGTTTAGGAAGAGATGCCAGCTCCCCCGCATTCCCTGAGGCCCCTCACCAGGGCCGGCGGGAGATAAGTTGGGAGAAGAGAGGCTCACCGTGCGCACAGACGCGTTCCTGCCCTCAGGGAAGTCAAAGAGGTAGACCTTGCTGCGTCCTCCCACCCACACGGAGGAGCTGCCTGGCTCGTGGAAAAGCACCGTGTGCAGCTCGGTCTGGCCGAAGTCCACATGGTCCTGCCCTGCATGGCCTGAGGAGGAGGCAATGAGTAGAAACATTGAAGCCAGGCCCCCAGCGAGAAGATTCTGGATCCCCTCCACATGGCATGCTGGAACCTGCTTGACAACCAGTGCCTGGTGCTCAGGGTCCTGGCAGGGCCTCAGACAAGCTCTGGGATGGGTGGCACCCAGACTCAGAGAGTCAAAGACAGGAGAAGTAAGAGATCCTCTGGTGGGCTCCAGCAACCCGCTGTCCTCACCCACAGCACGGCCCCTCCCCTAGTGCGGCAGCCTCTCTTTCCTTCACAGTAGGTGTGACCTCAGAGTGGGGCATGGTTTAGGGGCCTCTGGGGGTAACGGATCCCCTCTTCTGGCACACAACACTCTTGAGGCACTGAGCTCCTTGGCTATGCTCTGGGAGGCTTTCTGCTGCCCTATGACTGGGCAAGCGACCCCCCTCCCCCAGGCCTTTCACCAGGCAGCAGGGCCTCCAAGCATTCCCCCTTGGAGTCCAGGTTCCCAGCAATCAATGCTCAGAATCCCTTCTCCTAATCTGGGAATCCCTCTCCAACCCCTCCTGGCCCATCTCCAGCCACTTAGTGAGTACTAGACCTGAGAAAAAAAGGAATCTCATTATCTACTCCCTCCCATTTCACAGATGGAAACACAGAGGTCAAGGGAGGACACACGGAAGCAGGTCAGTAGCAGACCTTGAGCCTATGCTCCTGCCTACCGAGCTGGACTCTGGCATAGCCCACTCTGTCCCGAGTTCACCCATGGAGATGCTAATTCTCCTGCGGCTGAAGATCAGCTCTCACTCCCCAGCAACTCTGGGACAGGAGGACCTTCATGGAGCCCAGCCTGGGCTTTTCAGCAGAAGGGCTGAGTGGGACGATTTTGCCCAAAAAAGGAACTAACTTCAGCCACTGCCTCTGGGGAGGTGTCTCATCTCCGGTGACACTGCGAAGGCTGTCCTGGTTGCAGGAGTAAATTATAGGGACGGGACGGCCTGCGGCTGTGCCCCTGGCAATCAGCCACAGCCAGCATCTTCCCACCTCTGACCAGCCTGGGGCCTCACCCAGGAACTGAGTCTGACCACTGTTTTTTCAGCTGCAGGAAACTCTGGGGCAGCCAGCTTGGCAGTGACACCCGAGCTCCAACTCTGACCTAAAAGAACCACCATTTCCTCAACTCCGCTCCCAAGCCCTCTCACTCCCACTGGAGCCATCCCTACCGATTCTGCATGGAATGGGGGCAAGGAACAGCTGGACCACACACTGTGAGCCCACACCTTCATTCCTTAAGATACATTCCTTCCGCTGGGCGGGTGGCTCACACCTGCAATCCCAGCACTTTGGGAGGCCGAGGTGGGAGGATCATGAGGTCAGGAGTCCAAGATCAGCCTGGCCAACATGGTGAAACCCCATCTCTACTAAAAAGACAAAAAGTTGGATGTGGAGTGGGTGCGCACCTATAATCCCAGCTACTCAGGAGGCTGAGACAGGAGAATCGCTTGAACCCAGGAGGTGAAGGTTGCAGTGAGCCGAGATTGCACCATTGAACTGCAGCCTTAGTGACAGAGCAAGACTCCTTCTCAAGAAAAAAAAAAGATACATCCCTTCATGGCCAGGTCACCCCCAGAAGTGATCCTTCTTCACCTCTGCTATGGCCTGGCTCACTGGCTCAGAGGAGAATGCTGAGGTTCCCTGGGAGACATGCCAAGGTCACAGCAGCACACCAGCAGGCAGGACAGATTGGCTTGTCCCAGGTTAGAGTATCCCAGGAGCAAGACTGGCCAGAGAGAAGTGCTGAGCTCACTGTCCTTAGGCGGCGTGCTCCCCTCGTGCACATCAAAAATAGACTGAACAGCTCTGGGGATGTCAGCCCTTCCTGGCCCCCAAGGCTCCCTGCCTGTAGGCCCCAGATGTGCAGAGCAGGGGCTGGGAGGTACTGGTAGCTCAGCGGGAGCGGGGAGGGAGGGATCACTATCAGGTCTTGAGTGCCGCCCTGCTCCCCCTCCCTTCCTGGGATAAAATTCGAGTGCTGGGGTCAGCAGCCCACAGACACGGTCTTCCTGACTCAGCTTCCAGGGCTCCCCTTTTACCCGAAGCCCAAGCCACAGCTATCATCCCCCATGGCCCAGCCCGGGATCCAGACAGTCTACAGCCCCAGTTCCCCACCTGCTCCCCTCCCATCCCCCAGTAGCCAGCCTGGCGGCCAGGAAAAGGTGCGCATGTCTGCCTCTGGAGATGCTGGGCTAGGACCTGAGATCCCTAGCCCCTGGGGGTCAAGGCAGAAAAGCCCCATCCGTCAGACTGTGCTAGCCACCTTCATCAGTCACCTTAGCCCGACACCTGCACCAGGGCCACAGGCCCAGGTCTCCGAGGCGGCCAGCAAGGCCAAGGTACAACTATTCAAGGGGAAAAAGGCACTAGACGGGACCCTGGAGGGCCCTTGTCTAGGGATTGCGGGCCTGCTGAAGAGAAGAGGAAAGCCTGATGGCAGAGGCATGGCTGGGTCCTGGAGAGCAAGGTCTGAGGGGGAGGCCTGGCCCTACTCTGGGAAGACATCGGAGGGGTCAGGCAGCCACGCTGCAGAACGCTTCCACAGCTCTCTGGCAAAACTGTCTTAGCATGAGCCCCAGGGCAGCCCACAAAGTATCTGCTGAAGACACGAAGGGAAGGTGAGGGCTGCTGGCTGCTGGGTAGGAGCTGCGGCACTAGGGCCAGGACAATCTCGTCCAGATCTGCAAGCCTGAGCCCAGTTCCCCTCAAATCCTAGCCGCAATGGCCAGGGTGGAGGGAGGCAGGGACTATTCGTCCCATTTTGCAGAAAAACGAACAGGAGCCCAGCCTCCCGTGACCCCCAGGTTACTGCCTCTCCCAGTTCTGTGCTCGGTGATGCTTAGGGGCTAGGGGGAATGACACCAGCTCGGCCCCAGGACAAGGCCTTGGCCCATTCTCTGCCCCAGCCCCAGCCAGGGCTCCCACACTGCCCGAGGCCCTCAAAAGGCCTGATTGTGCCCAGGAAGTGTCGAGCAGCAGCAGCTCGATGAATACATGAAAGGAGGCTTTGTTCAGGTTGGCAGGAGCGGGGGCTGGGGGTTCAGGGGCAGGAGGGCTGCCTGGAAGTGAAGGCAGCACCAAGCCATCAGGGGCCAGGCTCTGTGGCCCCACCAGATCAGCAGGGAGAGAGCTGGGCCGGGGCAGGGACAGGCAGGGGCTGAGCGAGGCCAGGGGCTACCCCTAAAAAGGTCAGGCCAAGGGAGCACGTGTCATATCCCTGAACATTTTCTTTTCACTGCTTTATGGACCCAAAGGGAGAAGGGAGGTAGACAGAAGCTGGATGGGCCCAGGACAGGCGGGGAGAGAACGCCAGGCAGGGGAAACAGCCTGAGCAGAGGTGGGAAGCTGGATGCATGGGGGACAGAGGCCACGCACTGCAGCCTGGCAGACTCCTAATGGGAGAAGAATGGGGAAGGTGAGCTGAGGCCCACATGTCATAGGGGAAGGAAGATGCAGCGGGTCCAAGGACACACTGACCCACTGCCCATCACTCTCCCCTGCTGCCTGTTCTCCACGAGCAGGGCCAGGAGTGGAAAATGCCTCCCCGGCCTCCGGCGTCCCCCACCTCCTGGCTCCCCCTGCTTTCCATCCTGCTTGTCTAAAAGGAGCACCGTCTGGCACCGTGTCTCCCCCTTCACTCCCCTGCCTGACGCATTAGTGGCTGACTAAGTGGTAGCTAAAAGCTCCCAGAATAACCAGGGGTTCAGGCAGGGGAGGGGGCTAGGGACACATGGGGAGGGCATAGCCCAGAGGCAGGCCAGGCACGAGACAGCCCACCCCCCGCCCCATGTGATTCCGAGTCAATCCTCACTCCCGCTGGACCAGGAAGGCACATTCAGGCTGCCCCATACTCAGCTGGATTCCAAGGTTCCCCTGAGTTCCATTCCTCATGGTGGCAGGGCCAGCAAGGCCCAGCTCCAGCCAGACAGGGGGGCTGCAAGGACAGCTGGGTTGTAGGAGATTACCTCTGCCAGACACAGGCCTGGGTGCTCACGGGGCTCTGATCCCACTGGAAAGAAAGGGGCCTGACTCCTTGGGGCCCCTACCCCCATCACACTCCCAGCAGCAAGCCTGGGCCTCCGGGGCACGTTTCTTAAAGCAGGCCTGCCTGGTGGAGCATGCTTCTTCTTGTCATTCACTGTGTCACTGTTGGCCCGCTGTCCCCATACTCATGTTTGTGAGAGAGGAGGGCAGCTTCGGGGAGGGCAGAGGGGGAGTGGTTGTTGACCGTGAAGGGGCTGGGTCCCATGCTCTGGTCTGGCAAAGCCAGCCTTGCAACCTGACCCACTGACCCAGTAGGCCTTGAATACTAACCTCTAGGAGCCCTTTGAGAATGAATGGGCAGAGAATCAGGCTTTGAAAATGGCAGGAATGTGGGCATCCCCCGCAGAGAATGCCTAAGTCAGGCAGTCAGGGAGGCCCTGGGCCAATGAGCAGAAAGCAGGCTGACCTCAGGTTGGAGAGCCAGCACATCTGGCTGGAGCCTCCTCCCATGGTGGGCACTGCCAGGTCTACCTCATCCCCTCATCCAACTACCTACTTGGCAAAGAGAATAGCGGGAAGGCCCACATGGTGCCCAGGAATTAGCCTGCAGCCTCTCCCCCTTTTGGAATCCCACATCCACATGTCAAAGTGGAAGGGAGGGGATCTGAACAGTCACTGAACTGAAGGGCATGGAGGCCAGAGAGGCTGTACCATTGGCCAAGGACATCTGTGTCCTTGGAACAAGGGAAGCTCCAAGTTTCTGGTACCCATTACCCAGCTGCTTCTCTCCAGGATCACATCCTGGGCTTCCTGGAGAGCCTCTGATTTGCAAACAGCTGTATATTCAGCCTCTCCCTACTTCCCTGAATCATCCCTGCTCTCTACCCTTCCCTCTGCTGCTCACTAGATGCCGAGTCACTAACCTGATACTAAAGGGAATCACCCGCCCACCCGCCTTCCAGGTGAGGCCCTGATCTCCCAGG